CAGTGTTTCCCAGGGCTATGGCCCTAAGCCCCCAGGCCCAGTAACTCATTTGCTCAAGAGGTTTCATTATGGCTAAGAAGTTTTCATAATTTTGTCCCCATATTGCTTGGTTAAGTGCTGTTAAGTTCTGACTCATAGTGACCCTTACATAAGGTTTCCAAGAAGTGGCTGGTGGTTAGCAGTCTAGTGCTTATCCAACATTGCCACACCAGGACTCTATGTATGCTCTACTACTTAAATGTTGTTGTGTGCCGTTGAGTCGGTCTGACTAATAGTGGCCTTAGATAGTGTTTCCTAGAGGCTCTGGTGGGTTTGAACTGCTGATTTTATAGGTATGAGTCCAGTGATTATCCTATAGTGCCATACCAGGATTCACTATATAAATAAATATGTAGAATTATCCTCTGTCAAACCTATATAGATATTTGTGAATGTTCTATCCAACCTTTAAAAGTTGTGTTCTTCAGAGTTCCATCTTTGACTCTCTTCTCAACATGATTACTCAGAGTTTTCTTCTTCCTGACCAGAACTTCTGCTGCTATTTATAATTTGATATTTATAATTGATTCTTGTGCACTTATCAGTTGTCCAATCAGCTGCATTTTCCCTTGCCCTTAATCCTCACATCTAATCAACATGTGCTCTATTCTATCTCCTAAAATCTCCCAAATGTGTTCACTTTCCTCCAGCATCACTTCCTTGACTTAGGCCCCCATCATTTCTCTTCTCAACTTGTTGTGGTTAAGTGCCATTGAGTCGGTTCTGACTCATAGGGCTTCTGAGGAGCAGCTGGTGAGCTTGACCTTGCGGTTCAAACTGACCTTTCAGTCCAGTGCATTAGCCACAGTGCCATATCAGGACACCTCTTCGCAACTACTGCACTAGTTTCTTAAATGATTTTCTTGATTCCCTTTCTCTATATTGTATCCAGAGTGTTTTTCCCCCTTAAAAAACAAATGTAATCTTATTATTTTTTTGTGTGTAAAAAGTTAAAATATTCCTACTTCCTGAGGGTGAATTTCAAATTCTTTAGTATATCTTACAAGGGTCTCTTCTTTTCTAGTTTCATGTCTTTTGAAACCTCCCTGTTTTTCCATTCTTTATCTTGCCAGTCTTTACCCCAAAATTATACTTGTGCTTTAAAGAATAGATTTTTTTTTTTTTTTTTTACCAGTAGGCAATTACATATGCAAACTGACGACTACTCCCTGATAATCTAATCCTATACCTCATATAGCACTCTCCAGCCACACTGTGTTATTTGCTAGACCACCTGTTTGAAAAGGTATGCATCTTGCTTACTGCTTTTAGTGTCTACTATGGTTTCAGTCATAGTGTAAGCTTCCAAAAAGTGCTTATTGAAAGAACAGATAAGCAATGTGACCCCTAAGATTTCAGTTTTAAGCTATATATAGCATAGCAAAGTCTTCAAATCCAATTAAAAACTTCCCTAAAAGGAACTTGGTAGAATAGTGGTTATGAGTCAGGCTGATACTTTTATAGCTATCAGTTTGAAACTAACAGTGGTTCCACAGGAAAAAGATGAGGCTTTCTGCTTCTATAAAGATTTACAGCCTTAGAAACCTTATACAGGACCGCTATGATTTGGAACCGACTCCATAGCACATAACCCCCACCACCATTTGGGGTGTCCTGGTGTGGTGCTGTGGGATACAGTACTGGACCGCAAGATGGGTTTGAAATACAAGGTCAGTGGTTCAAACTCATCAGCTACTCCTTGGAAATCCTATACAGGGTCACTATGACTTGGAACTGACTTAATGGCATTTAACAACAACAGCAGCCACCATTTGGAGGGAACCAAATTAATCCTATGAGAAATAGATTTTATTTTATCCCTAAATTACTGGATGGAAAATAGGACTTGAAATCAAGCTGTTCCTTGGGTGTATTTTGAAAAAAAATTTCTGTTTTCTTATCACTGGATGGTTGTTATTAAGTTACCGAGATAATTTTATAAACATTTATTTCATAATAGTTATTATAGTCTTCCCTCTAAGTGGATGATAAACAATTTAGGTTACTTGTTTCCTGATAGCCATCTGTCCCAAACTATAATGTGCATTAGCATTACTAGAAACTTCCCAGAGAAGAAAATTAACAGGCTCTTTTAATTTTGAAAACTTTTAACTGACATGACTGAAAATCTGCATTTGTTGGTTAACTTCATTGTGAACATCTGCTCACCATTCTTATTCTCATTAAAATAAATAAGTAATAAGTCACAGTGGATTCTAGAGCATTGTAAAGAAAATAACAATGCATAAATCTAGTTTACTTTTATAACTCCTGGAGACAGTGGAAAATTTCATATAGTATTTACTCTAAGATTTATTAAAATGTATTTATTATTTAGGCATCCTGGTGTGGTGCTGTAGGATAAGCACTCAAACATAAAGTCAGTTTGAACCGCAAGGTTGGCAGTTCAAATTTACCAGCTGCTTCTCGGAAACCTCATATAGGGTCACTATGAGTTGGAATTGACTCGACACTTCACAACAACAATGTTTGTTATTTGATAAAGTGAACCATTTGTATTGTGGAAATAATGTGTGAGGGGGAAGTGGGAGAAACATGAATTGCATTGACAGGTTCGCTTTTTTAAAAAAAATCATAGGTTCACTTTTTTTTTTTTAATGTTTTATTGTGATTTATATGATAGTTTACATGAGAGAACTTTAGTTTTACATTCATTCCATCATATATCGTTTCATTGCCATGGTTCCAATCCCCTCCATGCATCATCAAAGGGTATACCTTACAAACCTGCCCCCTGCACTCCCTCCCCCCTCCCCCCTTGCAGTCTTCAGCACACAGTCCCTCTCCTTCTCTGGATCCAAAGTCCCCAGCCGCTTCATCACTCCACATCACCGTCTCTGTCTCTATCTCAGGCATCTCTGCTCCTCTGGGTAGGGTCCCGCTCTCGGCTCTTCTCCCTTGATGGTCCCAGAGACCTCCGCTCCTAGACTGGAGAATTATTCACTCCCTTCCTTGGTACAAAACGTGTACCCTTACATTTCCACCCCTCACAATCAGTCCTGATAACAATCATTCACTGTAGTATCACAGGTGACCCATCTGCATTTCATTTCATCAGCTCCACCTAGACAGATTGGATAGTACTCAGTGGAGATTCTGCCTTCCTCCATGCCCCCTATCTCTAGGTTCCCTCTTGAAAGCTTGTAAGCCAGCCATTTCTTGCCTTTGTAGTCCGTCTCTCCCCACCCCCCCCACCCCATTTGGGTATCCAATGTCCAAGTTGCCCATCTCTGTCTACTGTGTGTGTGGAGGGGGTGGGAATGTTTTGTGCTGTAAGGATTTGTTCCCTCTTTTGAGTCGCTGCATCCATAGGTGTAGGTCAAGTTCATCAAATTGTATCAGATCACTCTTTTTTTCCTCTTCTTTCTTCTCCTGGTTGAGCTCTGATCATTCAGTCATCCGGGCCAAGTCACGTGGGTACCATCTGCAAGTGTGGGCGTTCTTGTGCACATGCCCTCTCTTCCCATCAGCCGGTAGCTCTATAGGTTCACTTTTTAGCTATTATTTAATCATTTGTGCTCTGAATGTTTAAAAAATATTCCTTGTTTTGGTAATGATATTATCATAGAGAATCTTTGATTTCTTTTTGAAATGTTTTCATTTATTATTGTCTGAATAGCTCATTTATTCCAAATGTTTCCAGATTCTATTTAGGATAGTAACATTCAATATCCATATTTCACAATTATTATAGTCAGTTTGGTTACATGGAAAGCTCAATTTGCTTCACATTTATGTAAAAATGGAAGATACCTGTGTCTGAGAATATTTAAAATATATCTGGATTTTAAAGCTCTCTGGACTATCATGTGATATAAATTTCAAAATACTATTTTCTGGTATTCTAGTAATGCTCCTATTTAAATTTTAACAAGATATAAGCAATGTTGCATTTTGAGGACTCTTTCAAAGAGTAAATTTGATACCGAAGTTGTAAACCAGGGTTTTTCACTAATTTTCTGTATAAAGCTTATTTCTTTTTTTGGAAGGGTGACACATTTGAAAGTGAATTTGTTTTTCTTTTCTTAGTTTGTAGTATACTATATTTTGTCACTGCCTTTTGAGTTGAGGGGCCGTTTCTGTGTTAAATTAATAGAATCAGGAAGCAGGAGTTTACTATTATGATTATGGAGTACAAAAGAAAAATTAGACATACTCATTTGGCTCTGCATTTCACAATAAGATGGAAAAATCCAGGAAATGCATTTATTTTAGAATGCTTTCTGGCATTAAAATGGTTTACCAAATATTGCCTCTTTAATACTTTCTAATCTAAGTGGAGAGAAAACTAATATATAGAATGCAAAGCAACAGAGAATGAGATTTGACTCAAGAAGATGATTTTTGTACTATGGATAAAATATATTCTTATTTAAAGTTTTCTTGCTTGATCACTTTAATATACTGAACCAATTTTTGACAGCCAGGATGACATTTGATGGCTCAGAATCTATGGTCTAATAAATTGCCTAGGTTAATGTTGGATCATGCTATAGTAGGTCATGGAAATTGAAATTTCAGCTAACATTTAAAAATCCTCAAAAGCTGTGATGTCTTCTGGGATCAGTCCAAGTTTCTAGGAGTAGAAGATTTTTACAGTCTTTTAAAAAAGTTTAGACAGGAAACTGTCACTTCCAATTTTTATCATATTTTCACTGGGGTATCTCAGGTAGAGCCTGGACAAAGTATACATTATGAATTTTTTTTGAAGTATTATAGTGAAAAGCCTTCTCTTTTTAAATCCTTAATTTTACAGATCACCATTTATTAAGGATATTCCTAGTTACATTTTTTCTGGAAAATTTGTGGGAGGGGTATGTTTTTAGTAGAATTATTTTATGTTAGATTGCCAGTATATAATGCTGAAAGTCATATTTTCATTGAGTTATTTTAATAAAATCAAGTTGAAAATGTAAAGAAACCCTATCATTATTTTTCAGGTATACATATGGGAAGCCAGTTAAAGGAGACGTAACACTTACATTCTCACCTTTATCCTTCTGGGGAGTAAAGAAAAATATTACAAAAACTTTAAAGGTAATTAAAAAAAAAACATTTATTGTGAACTGAGTGAAAGTTTACAGAGTAGATATCATTTTACATTGAACAAATCATATACATTTCATCCCATTGATTGCAACCCCCTCACTGTACCCTAGTTGATCCCATTTCATCCCTGTCTTTCTTGTTTCCATTTCTCCTTTCCCACCCTTCTGAGCTTTGTCCTTGTGTAAATGCTACCCTTTTGATTTTGAATGGCTAACGATTCTATTGTGTGCATACTTCACTAGTGTTCTTGCTCCTCTTAAAGACACTTCTGTTGCTTGGCTGAAAATTGAGCTATGGGGTTGAGTTCAGTTCCAGATCTGAAACATGACCAAGGGCCATAGTCTCTAGGGTTCTACCAGTCTTTAGTAGGCCAGGAAGCCTGGTCTTTTTTATGGTTTTAGTTTTTTTTCTGTGTTTTCTCCCACTCTATCCAAGACTGTCTAATGTGATTCCTTTCAGAGTAGTTGACAGTGGTAGTCAGCACCATCTAGCTCTGGTCTCAGGGTTGTGGAGACAGATGGTCATGTTGTCCACTAGACTAATTGTTTCCATGTGTTTTAAATTTTCATCACTCTTCTTTCCACCAGAAAGGGAGAAACCAGCAATTTAAATGGCTACACATAAACTTTTAAGACCTCAGTAGCTATTCACCAAGTAGGATGTAGAACATTTTCTTTGTGAACTGTCATGCCAATTGATCATGGTGTACCTCGAGACTATAGTCCTAAGCCCTTAGGCCAGGGATGCATTCCCTCAAGGTGTTTGGTTATGTCTAAGAAATTTTCATAACTTTGCCCCCTGTATGTTCTTTTAAGGTAACTTTTAAATATTTTTACAATTTATAATAGGAAAAAAACTCTGAAGTGTAACTTTTCTAGAAATATGATTTTATGGTGAATTATTAAGAGAAATGACAATGTAAGAAATAAAAAAAATTCCTCATGGGATAAGTGTGAATTCACTCATAGCAATTAAGATGGAATCACAAGTCATTGTATTGTTATGAGTTAAGCTGAGTTTTATTTAATTCTAAAATTTGAATTGCTCAAGTGAGAAATAAAATTTAACTTTTTAATAAAACAGATAAATGGATCTGCAAATTTCTCTTTTAATGAAGAAGAGATGAAAAAAGTAATGGATATTTCAGATGGGCATTATAACCACATGGATGTTTCTTCCCCTGGGCCAGTAGAAATTTTAGCCACAGTAACAGAATCACTCACAGGTTGGTAGACTTTGAAGTGAAGGTAAAACTATTTATGTGTTTTTGCTTTGTCACCTTTCTTAGACTAGTACTGTGTTTTAGAATCATCATTTCCTTTCCAAAGATGTTCCTTAATTCTGAAATTGTCACTATTCTCAGTCTAACTTGCCGGATGCTCTCATAAAGAATAACACTTCTACTCTTCTTTTAAGCCTGAGGACTCCATGGCAAGGCCTATATTTTCAGCTGGCTAGCCATTTTTTTTCTGTTAGCTTTACATCTCCTGAAACCTCACCTCCTCCTAGAGAGATTTATCTTTAACAATAATAATAAAAAAGGTTGACTTCTTGAACTTTTCTGTTATAATTTCAGCAGTTTTCACCAGAAGGCTATTCTTTCAGTGGCCTTAATCTGCTGGTGTACATGCCATCAGGAGGAGAATGGCAATAATGGTGCTTAGAAGGGATTGATAATACAGAAATGAGGATTATGTGCTCTGATATTGTATTCCTTTTGGCAAGTGGCTCAAGTGGATAGGTTAGTAGATAGAAGCTGTTGGTGAAATATTGCTTTTACTTTCTAAATAGTATAATTTTTAAAACAGGTATCTCTAGAAATGCAACCTCCAATGTGTTTTTCAAGCACCATGAGTATATCATTGAATTTTTTGATTATGCTACTGTCTTGAAGCCATCTCTCAACTTCACAGCAACTGTAAGTTGGTATGTTTATTACTGGTCTAAAGCAGCAAGTTTAATATAGTGAAATGCACTGGGAAATAGTACTTTTCAATACTTTAAAAAATCTTTAGGCTAAGAAGTAGATGAATTACTTATTTCCCTTTAGGTATTTGAGGTATTTAGAATTGTTTCCAAATAATGTTTGTCTAATTTTCCTAAAAGGTAGTCTCCAACAAAATATTTTTGAGAATTCTGTCTCATGAAAGCAGATGTGGAAACTAGATCCAAATTGAAGTCAAATCCATTGTTTCTTCTGTTAAGTGTTTTTAAACTATCATGTTTTGAAACTTAGGTGAAGTTAACACGTTCTGATGGCAATCAGCTGACACCTGAAGAAAGAAAAAACAATGTAGTTATAACAGTGACACAAAGAAACTATACTAACTACTGGAACAGGTGGAGCAAAAACCAGGAAATGGAAGCTGTCCAGATTATGAATTTCACTGTCCCCCCAAACGGAATCTTTAAGATTGAATTCCCAATCCTGGATGATTCCAAAGAGCTGCAAGTGAAGGTACCATCTGCTTCTGATAATTACTACGAAAATGTCATTACTATTGTAATCTTGTGGTGGGTCTGCAAACTTTTGGAGGTCAAAGTACATAGGAAGTGGACACGTTTCTGTTTTTTTTTAAATTGTTAAAAAAACAATTTTATGACAGTAGCTGAGTATTAGACTGAGTTAGTTCTTCTTTCTAAGTTAATTTTGAAGAGTACAGAAAATACAGACTATGAAGATATCATAAAGAAGCTTCCAAGCTCCCAATTTAGGTTGATTTTTAGTCATTTCAAATTACATTTTGGTATGAGCTGAAATGACACTTAACAACAATATATATTTTGGAGTCCTATAGGATAAACACTGAACTGCTAACCTACCAGCCACTCCTCAGAAATCCAATATAGGGGTGCCATGAGTTGGAACTGACTCGATAGCACTTAACAACAACAATAACATACATATTTTTTGCACTTATAGCCTTTTCTAGAGTCCTAGTATAGCACTGCAGGTTAATGTGCTGGACTGCATAGTTACTTTGAACCCCAAGGTTGGCGATTCAAGCTTACCAGCCACTCCTCGGAAACCCCATACAAGGACCCTATGAGCCAGAAAAGACTCAAGGGCCCTTAACAACAACAATAGCCTTTACTAAGCTATTGTTCTTAGAGGGACTACCTAGGAATCTCTACCCACTCTAGCTTTTTTGTTTGTTTGTTTGATTATTTATCCCTGCCCATGTCAGGGCCTTGACAAAACAGACTATTCTGAAGTTGTGACACTTGATGGATCAAGTGGGATGCCATGATTTCTCGCTTGTAATTAAGCTCTGTGTTATGGAGAAAAGCAAATGGAGAAGTGGAAGGATTACCTTTCTGTATCATCCTTTCCTCTCACATTGTCGTTTAATAGTATACCTTTATTTCTGAAAGAAGATTGGATTGTGCTTTTTCCCTTAGGTTATGATGCTGAAGACCTGCTTCCAAGTTGTAAAACTATCAGTTTATTTATTTATGTTGTTGTTGTTGTTAAGTGCCGTCGAGTCAGTTCTGACCCATAGCGACCCTGTACAGGGTTTCCGAGGGTGTAAATCCTTACAGGAGTAGAAAGCCTCATCTTTCTCCTGCGGAGCGGCTGGTAGTTTCTAACCGCTGACCTTAAGGTTTGCAGCACGATTCGTAACCACTACGCTACTAGAGCTCTCTCAGTTTATTTATGGTATAAGATAAAAAGTAATGAAGATCTAATGCTTGATGAATGTTATTATTTTCTGCATGAGAAAAGAAGTGAATTTGGTTTTCAGTTATTGTTCAGTAGCAAGCATCTTTCCTCAAGGTGCTGCTAAAGATGAAAATTAATAGCTCTTTTTCCTCTGTTTTAGGGCTTTTTTATTGATAGTGAAAGTAGCATGGAAGTTCATGGTATGTTTAATTCTCCAAGTAAGACATACATCCAGCTGAAAACAAGAAATGAAAATGTAAAGGTAATGCATAAATTCACTTGATACTTACAATCTCTTTGGACTCTCTTGTCATTAGTATGTATATATTAATTACTTTTTTTTTTTAAATGTATATATATAGGTGGGATCACCTTTTGAGTTGGTGGTTAGTGGCAACAAACGATTGAAGGAGCTAAGCTATATGGTAATCTCTTACAGAATCTACATTTATATTCCATTACACAATTATCTTAAATGGTGTTTATTTTTTGTTTAGACTAAATTAGTTTTTAAACTTTAGTATCTCTCCTTTGTAGTACGTCTTCTTTATATTGCAATAAAATATTTTTTCTTATCCTTTTTCTCCTATATTTGCATTTCTAATTTATAAGGTGTAATTAAATTTTGCACGGATTCAATGGCATTTCACAACAACAACAATTAAATCTTGCAGTATGTTCAAATTTGATGATTAAGCAACATTTGCTATTTTAGAAAAATTATAAAATATAAAACCACAAAAGGAAAAAAAACCTGTCACTATACATGCTTTGTGCAGTCCTGGTGTGGCGCTGTGGGTTGATGTGCTAGACTGCAAAGCCATTTGAACTGCAAGGTTGGTGGTTCAAGTTCACCAGATGCTCCTTGGAAACCCTCTACAGGGTCGCTATGGGTTAGAACTGACTCAACAGCACTTAACAACAACATACATGCTTTGTAGATTTGCTAATCCTGTTCTTCCTTGGTACCCTATGATCCTTGATTACAAAGCTACGGTTTCCCTAATCTTACCATTTTCTATTTCCCAGTATATATGAGGGGCCTCAAAAATTTTGTGGAAAATTCTATTATCTTTTTTTTTAAATGTTTTATTGTGAATTATATGATAGTTTACATGGGAGAACATTAGTTTTATAGTCATCCTATCGTATATTGTTTCATTGCCATGGCTACAATCCCCTCCATGCATCATAAACCAACCAAAGGGTATACACTACAAGCCTGTCCCCCGGTCATCAGCACACAGCCCCTCTCCCTCTCTGTGTCTAAAGTCCCCAGCTGCTCCATCTCTCTATGTCATCATCTCTGCCTCCATCTCAGACATAACAGCTTCTCTGGGTAGGGTCCCGCTCTCTGCTCTTCTCCCTTCATGGTCCCAGGGACCTCTGATTCTAGACTGAAAAGTTAATCACGCCCCTCCTTGCTACAAAAACGTCTACCTTTACATTTCCAACCATCACAATTGGTCCTGATAACAATTGTTCACTATTGTATCACAAGAGACCTATTCGCATTTCATTTCGTCAGCCCCGCCTAGACAGATTGTATACTACTCAGTGGAGATTCTATCTTCCTCCATGCCCTCTGGATCTAGGTTCCCTCTTGAAAGCTTGTAAGCCAGTCACTTCTTGCCTTTGTAGCCCCCCATTTTGGTTAAAATTCTATTATCTTTTAATCCTGCTTTTCCATAAACTTTTCCAGTCTGCCTCATACTTGCTATATTTTTCAAAGAGGGTTTCTTGCGTTCTGAAGGGTTTTTGAAGTTGCTTTACATCAAGAATGTGCATGTTTGTTTAAAATGATGATAAATATAGTTACAGCTGAGATTCTTACCAACTTTAGCATAAAATTAAACTTGTCTACTATTCTTTACAGGTAGTATCCAGAGGAGAGTTGGTGGCTATAGGCAAACAAAAGTCAGCCACCTTCTCTTTAACACCAGAAAATTCTTGGGCTCCAAAAGCTTGTATTATTGTGTATTATATTGAAGATGATGGGCAAGTTATAAATGATGTTCTAAAAATTCCTGTTCAGCTTGATTTAAAAAATAAGGTAAGATTTAAGATAATAATTTTTAAAAGAAAACTTCATATTAGCCTAAGAATTGTAATATTTCTTTTGAAAAGTATTTTTAAGTTAAATTGGTTATAAGTTTATATTATTTCTAGAACTGTGGTTAAGCCTCTTCATATTTAGTTATTGCATATGTTATTTCCTATATGGAATTATTGGGTTCTCTGACTCTTAGTCTTAAGACTTTAACACAAATCCACTCAGGATTTAAAACTAAAGGATTTCACAGTTTTCACAAAGGTTGGGTCGATATTACTCTGGCATGGAATTCCAGTCATAGATTTTTTTTTTAACAACATAAAATTTATATTGTGTTGGTATTTGTGGAAGTTCGGATTGCCATCATGTAGGCAACTTTGTCTTTGTCATCTTTTCTCTTCCTATTTCTGGTACTGGACTTTGCCAGGTCTGTTAGACACTGTTGTTTTGTGATCAGCACTGACTGGGAAGTTGGTGATGGAGGAAGAGAGGGAGCAGAGGGAAGGATAATTCAAATTTATACCACATGGAAAAGTTCTCTGATTTGCAAATACTTTGGGAGTAAAGCTTTCTTATTTCTTTCTCTAAAGAAGATTTATGTATGGTTTTAGAATTATCCTTAAATTAAGGCAAATGTAGAATCTTTGCTAAATTTTTAGTCACTAACAACTACTGACAAGACATGTTTTCAAAAAATGGAATAAGTAAATCCTGTTTTCTCCCCTTTTTAGATAGCTCTATATTGGAGTAATGCTAATGCTGAACCATCTGAAAAAGTCTCTCTCAAGGTCTCTGTAACACAGCCTCATTCAATAGTGGGAATTGTAGCTGTTGACAAAAGCGTGAATCTGATGAATGCCTCAAATGATATTACAATGGAAAATGTAAGTTTAGCTATTTTTTTTTTAAGGATGAAAATGCATATGAAAAAAGAAAAAAATTACTTTGAATATTTGAAGGAAATTTTATTAGTGTCTCTTCAAAGTATAAGTTAATCAGTAAATCTTCCAAATAAAAGAGAATCTGCATCCCATCTGTTCTGTTGGAAAGGCGCTTATGTAGCTTTTTGCATTACTGTTTTACATGACAAATGCCACCTAGAGTTTCCCCTCATTTTCATACTGTATTTTAATTTGAGAAATTCCAGAAAGTACTAGGAAATGTAATTGCACAATTTTTACAAAAAACATTCTTGTGAATTGAGCGAAGGTTTACAGAGCAGGTTATCAGTTTTACATTCAACAAATCATAGACTTCATTGCATCTCAGCTGCAATTCCCTCCATGTAACATCACTTTATCCCTGCATTTTTTGTTTCCATTCCTCCCTATACTCCTTAGCTTTGTCCTTAGGTAAATGTTGCCCTTTTGATGTTGAATGGTTGATCATTCTATGGTGTATATTTCATTAGTGTTGTTATCCCCCCTGTATACCGATCTATTGCTTGGCTGAAAATTGAACCATTGGGGTGAGTTCAGTTCCAGACCTAAAGGTTGACCAAGGGCAATGTCTTGGGGTTCTGTTAGTCTCTATCTGACCAGTAAGCCTGATCTATTTTTTATGATTTTGAGTTTTATTCCACATTTTTCTACTACTCTATCTAAGACCTACTAATGTGATTCCTTTCAGAGAAACTGGTAGTGATAGCCAGGCATTGTCTAGCTCTTCTGCATTTAGGGTCATGGAGACTGATGTTAAGTTAGTCCACTTATACACTGGACTAATTGTTTCCAAGCATCTTCAATTTTTTCCAACAGGCAGGAAGAGACCAATAGTTGCATCTTAGATGGTCATTCATAAACTTTTAAGAACTCAGTCGCTACATCAAAGTAGTATGTAGAACACTGTCTTGGTACTTACACAATTATTGATAACACTGAAGAAGAAAGCATTAGATACATTTTTAGTATATTCTATTTTGGTTATATAGAGCTCTGGTAACATAGTGGTTACGAATTGGGCTGTGAACCTTACAGTCA